CCGTACAGGTTCATCTTGTACTTGTGGTCTGGCTGCAGGCCTGACACAGTGACCCCCTCCTCATACCCCGGGACGCGCACCGCCTTGGGCTGCCCGTCCCCGTTCTTGTACTGCACCAGGAAGTGGTCAAACTGGCCCTTGAGGACGGTCCAGGAGAGGTGCAGGGAGTCGGAGGTGGCGTCGGTCACGGCCAGCTCCCCTAGGCGGGGCTTGGTGGGAGGTTCTGAAGGTTCATCCTCCTCTTCCCTTGGAGCTGAACAGAGACATGAGAGAGAACAAGTTGGACCTGAGAGAGGGGCCGGGTGACCTTGGGGACTTTGCTCTCCTCTGGGCTCTCCCAGCCACTTGGAGGAAGGAGCTATAGTGGAGTTCTCCTTGGTTACCTGTTAGGGCCTCAATGTGGGCAGGACCCACGCGCTGCTGGCCACGGAAACCGTACAGGTTCACTAGGTATCTGTGCTCAGATTCCAGTCCAGAGAGGATGACATCATTCCGGTCACCATCTATCCTGACCACTTGGAGTTGCCCATCTTGGTCTGTGTAGTGGACCTCGAAGGAGTCATAATCGCCCTCAGTCTCGGTCCAGGAGAGATGCAAGGTGTCTGGTGTTGCTTCCTCCACAGTTACCTCCCCTAGGCGGGGCTCAGGCCCTGGAGGACTTGGGGCCTCGGCTTCGATATCTTCTCTGGGGGCTGGTTCGGAGAGACAGGTAGAGATGGGTGACTGGTCTGTCTCCACAAGTCTCTCCAGTGAGAGGGAAGGAGGGGAAGAGGTGAAGGCTAGAGGTCAGTAGTAAAAAGAACCAACTATGGAACACGAGGATGAATTCCCAAAGCATTATGCTAAGTATTAGAAACCAAGCACCGAGTATGTATTGTATGAGTCTGTTAAGTGAAAGGCTTACAAAGGCAAAAGTGTAAGGAGAGAAAGGAATTAGTGGCTGACAGAGGCTGGCATTGGGGGAACTGATGGTAAAGGGGCATGGGGAAATGGGTTCTGGGGTCAACGGAAATCTTTTGTATCTCAATCGTGGTAATGGTTTCATGACTTACATATTTACCAAAACTCATTATTCATATAAAATTGTATGTGAATTATGCCTCAATAAGGCTATCCCTTCCCCTAAAAGAAGGGAAATAAGCAGTTCAGAAACCCCCTGGCTTGGTCAGACCAGGAGAGCTGAAGCCGGAAGGCAGGGCAGTGACTTCCGGCCACAGCCTCACTCACCAGTCAAGGCGATGGTAGAGATGGGACCCACACGCTTGCCCTGGTACAGCCCGTACAGCAGCAGCTTATACCTGCGGGCTGGGTCCAGGCCAGAGACGCTGACCTCCCTGAGGCTGCCCTCCACAGGGACCACCTGGGGCTGCCCGTCCCTGTCCTTGTACTGGACCACAAAGGAGTCAAAGTGGCCCTCAGGGACCGTCCACGCGAGGCTCACAGAGTCTGGTGTCACGCTGGTCACCTGTAGTTCTTCCCCGAGACGGGGCTTTGGGGGGTGCTTTGTTCTAGCATCATCCACACCACTCCTGAGCTCTGAGAGGGAGACAGAGAGAAGGCGGCTGAGCTGTTTCTGGTAGTGGGTGACCTCAAAGGGCAGGACTGAGAGGTCTGGGGACAGGGCTTTGCCATAGCTGAGTCCTATAGGGCTAGTGTTATGCGACTGTGTGAGGAGAGTAAGTACTGTGATGGAAGCCAGCACAAGTGACCACCCTCTTCCCTGGCCCGGCCGGGTGCAGCCGCCATCCCCAGGGGAGCTCCAGGAGAAGAGCTTGGCCCTGCAGGGATGCCCTCACCTGTGGTGCCTTCAGCAGTGAGGGGGCCATGGCGCTTCTTGCCCAGGAGCCCATAAAGGAGGAATCTGTACTTGCGACCAGGGTCCAGAGGGGTGACGGTGACCGAGCGCTCGTGGCCTTCCACGGGCACCATGTGGGGCCCATCTCTGTCCTTGAACTGGACCACAAAGGAGTCAAAATGGCCCTCGGGCACAGTCCAGGAGAGGTGTAGTGAGTGCAGGGTGGGATCTGTCACCCATAGCTCCCCCAGGCGGGGGCGGGCCTTGAGGCTGGCGTCACCTTGGGCAGCTGACGGAGAGGAAAGATTCTTGTGTTTACTTTTTTCCAGAATGACTCTTTGACTGCTTCCCACTAGAGTTGGAAAAACCCAGGACTGCCCAAATGATCAGTGCTTCCCCAAAATATTTCCATCACCCTCCCATCTCTGCCACCATCCCCAACTGGCCCATGCCTCCCACCACTTAGCCAACAGGACATCTCTGGGGAAAAAAGAATCGCTAGCTTCCTGCTTATCTTATTCCTCCTGCCGTCCAGATTCTTCCCACTTCTTAGAGACTATGTTCCTATCAGGGTACAGCTTGATTTACTTATTTCCTTTTACCAAGGAGCCTACCCATTGTGATTTGCCTGGCCCCTGGGGAAATCTGAGGTCCTAAGGACATTGGAGGGGGCACAGGATCCCTGACAAGTATACACAGCAGATGAGAAAGCAGGATGTTATGTTGGAGGTGGCCCTCTTAGGGCCTGGTGGAGGAGTAGGGGCTGTCTACTTGGTGTGGGGAGGCGGGGAGAGGAGGGGAGCTCACATGGAGAAAGGATCTGGTGTCTGCCCCAAAGCCATCCTGAGGCCTGAGAAGGAGCTGGCCTGCTGCCTTCTTGGCCAATGAGGACGCTGACAGCATTGTTATTGCTAGAGTTTTCTGGCATCAGGGAGCCCCCAGGGGCAGGGGAGGGCCTGGACTGAAACCCAGGAAAGGGGCACAGCTGGGCTGGGCCCGAATGGGCCTGGCTGGGCCTCCAGCCCTGAGCTCCTCTTCTTCCCAGTTTTCGAGGCCCTGGGAAGAGGGCACAAGAGGAAAAGGGCCCTCTAGGGAAGGCAAAGAGGGGACCCGATGGGCCTGAGCCAGTAGGATAAGAAAGAGGGTGACGGCAAAACTCTCAGGAGGTGAGGGCTGCACAAGGCTGAGAGCTGCAAGGCCCAGCAGGTGGAAAGGGCTCCTGACTCCCTTGGGCCTCCCCCAGCACTCCCAGTCTCCCATGTCCCACCTTCTAGGAAGGGTCCTAAGGGACTTCCCCCATTCAATAGCAGTGAAAATTATGAGAAGAGAGGAAAAGTCAGTGGGAAGCACAGACCCAGGACCTGGCCCTGTTTTCCTGGTTCTCATTTGCCCTGAACTGGGTCGGCAGTATGGCTTTTTTTTTTTTTTAAAGATTTTATTTATTTATTTATTTGACAGAGATCACAAGCAGGCAAAGAGGCAGGCAGAGAGAGAGGAAGGGAAGCAGGCTCCCTGCTGAGCAGAGAGCCCGATGCGTGGCTCAATCCCAGGACCCTGAGACTGAAGGCAGGGTCTGAGCTGAAGGCAGAGGCTTAACCACTGAGCCACCCAGGCACCCCGGCAGTATGGCTTTTTAAACAAAACAGAAGAGGTGGACACAGGGAAGACAAGCAGAAGGAGAGAGACTAGGCAGTGTGAAGAGGGTGGGCAGACTGCTGGGGGCTTAGGGGCCTCTCACCTGTTTTTGCCTCTACAGAGACTGGGCTGCGTCTCTTCCCATCCTGAAGCCCATAGACCAGGAACTTGTACTTCCGGCTGGGCTCCAGGCCGGGGATGGTGACCTCATGCTGGTCTGCGGCCACGGGCACCACATGGGGCTGCCCATCCCTGTCCTTGTACTGGACCATGAAGGAGTCGAATTCACCATTGGGGACCGTCCAGGAGAGGGTCACGGAGTCTGGGGTCATGTCTAACACTGTCAGCTCCCCCAGCTGTGGCTCCTGGGGGGACTCTGTGGCTGGGGCTGTGGGGAGGGGAGCTAGAATCCAGAAAAACACAGAACGTGGCTGAGACCTTGGGCAGGAGAACGCCCGCCCCCAACCCTGAAGGGCTCCTGGGCTCCCAGGGCCTCAAGGGTCCTTGAGCTAGATGAGACACAATCACATCGATATTTTCCCTGACCTCTCACTGAAATGTAGCACTTCCTCTGGTGCTCACTGTGGTGTCAGCATACCTAGGACTGTGTTCATGTCACCTTAGAATAACTGTGCAGACTTCAAAGTACCGTTTACACTCTTCCCTCCTTTGAAATGTGGGTAGGTTATGACACATGCCCCAAGACTTATTATTTAATGAACTGATAAAGAGTTCCTGTATTACTAAGTCATAAATTTGAATTTAAAATATTTTGATAATTGAACATCAGTATAACTGGTTTCCTCTCTAACCTTATGCATTTATGTTACAGATTTTTTAAAAAGATTTTCTTTATTTATTTGGGAGAGACAGACACAGCAAGAGAGGGAACACAAGCAGGGGGAGTGGGAGAGGGAGAAGCAGGCTTCCCACTGAGGAGAGAGCCCAATGCGGGACTACATCCCAGGACCCCAGGATCATGACCTGAGCTGAAGGCAGACGCTTAATGGCTGAGCCACTCAGGCACCCCTATGTTATAGATTTTAAAGCCCTGCTTTGAGAGGGTTCCATGGGTTTCATTAGACACCGTGGTAGAAAAATGGCAGCAACCTGTCCCCAGGGACCCAAGAGCAAGGGCCACTTCTGGGAGAAAGGAAGGCTATAGCACTCGGGGCACTAAGGGCTTCTGAGAAGAGATTCAAGGGATGTGTGTCATTGAAGCCCAACAGAAAAAGAACATCAGGGGAAAGTGTTGGCTGTGGCCAAGTCACAGCAGGGTTTTGAGAGAAAGGAAGGGAACAGCTGTGGACAATCAGGGGAGACAGAGTCAGATTTAGGTCAGATGGAAGCAAGACATTCTTGCCTGAGGGAGAAGGCAAAATGGAGAGGGACTGGAGGACAGGGAAGGTTCTAGCCTAGGGAAGAGGCCAAGGAATCAAGGAACAGACTACTGTGCCTGTGACCTCAGGAAGGACCTATGGAGGCCTGCAAGGCAGAACCTGAGAGAGGGTTTGTGGGAGGGGGGATTCTGGGTAGCCAGGGATGCGAGCTGCCTCACCCCTGCTCACTCACCAGTCACAGCTACTACAGAGAGGGGGCCCATGTGCTGCCCATCATGTAGCCCATAGAAGTTCATCCTGTACTTGCGTGCAGGCTCCAGGCCCAGGATGGTGACCTCATGCTGGTCTGCGGCCACAGGCACCACCTGGGGCTGCCCGTCCCTGTCCTTGTACTGGACCACAAAGGAGTCAAACTGGCCCTCGGGGACTGTCCATGAAAGGCCCACGGAGTTGGGGGTCACATCGGTCACTGTCAGCTCCCCCAGGCGTGGCTCCAGGGGCGGCTCTGTGGCTGGGGTCTCTTCTGGGTGTGGAGCGGAGACAGAGACGGTGGAAGGCTGTTAGGAAAAGCTCCTCTTTCCCTTGTTAGTAATTACGTCTGTTTTTGTAGCATCCACGAGGTTGTCCTGATGTAGAACTACACTGATTGGTGACATCTGCCAGGCCACAAGCCCTCACTAACTTCCCGCCAGGACCTGAAGATGTGCTGGGGTTGGGGAGGGGTGTCACCGAAACCCTGGGAGAGTGGCTGAACTTCCACCTGTAGGTCACTGGCTCCAAGTCCCCTACCCCAGGACCTGCAGACTCGCATCTTCCTTGGGTGCCTGGTCTGTGTCTCAAACTCATGAAGTCCAAAAGCAAGCTCAGGGACTGCCCCCCACACCTGCTTGGTCATGACCTCCCCACCCCAGCAAAGCCACCACTTCATCCTGGGTGTTGTCCCCGAGTCCCCCCACACTCTAAACCTAGCCGGCTAGGAAGGTCTGGTGGCAGGACCTTCAGAAGCCAACCCCCCTCGCTAACTCCACTCCACTGCTACCATCTCCAAGCACCACTAGTCCCACTGGGCTACATGGGTCTCCTAAATCCTCTCCCTCCTCCACCCACCCCCTGCCTCTGATCCCCGTTGACCCATTAGTCAGAGCCTGTTCCCGCAATGACTTCCATCTCACTCAGGGCAAAAACCAAGTCCTTACAATGACCTCTGAGGTTCCACGATCACCTCTCACATAGCTGCTCTCCATTCCAGACATTCCTGGTTTATCCACAGAGGGTCGGGGCACTTTCTTCTGCCTGGGATATTCTTCCCAAAGGTGCACGTGCCTTGTCCTGTCCCTCCCTTGGCTCTAACCTCAGGGAAGCCCTTTCCCACCTCCTTCCCACTAATTCACCATCTCACCTGCTGGACTTTTCTCCAGGGCTCATCACTGTCACAGACGGTACCACAGACAAATGTGGGCAGTCTGGTGTCTGTTTCCCTCTACTAGAACATGAGCTCCCAGTGGGGGTGCTTTGCCTTGCTTATTGCTGTGTCCCTGCTGCCCAGCACACGGTGGGTGCTCCACAAACATTTGTTAAACTCATGAGTGGTCTGCATGACTTGGCTGGGAAAGGCCTAGCTTGGGACCCAGTGGGCCCCACTGTGCAAGAATCAGCTAAGTCTGGGGGGCACTCCTCAATAGTGACCAAACATGGAAGGTGGTCCCCAGAAGTAAGACAGTGGAGGAGGTGGCGGGGGCGGGTGGCTCCCAAGAGTTGCTTTCTCTGGCTTCTGTGGGAGGATAAGATCAGGCTCCAGGCAGAGGAAAACCTGTTTGGGAGGCCTCAGAAAGACAACTGAGTCTACGTGGGGAGGGCAGGGATGAAGGCAGCTGAGGGGCTAGGAGTGGCCGCCATGTTAGCAAGCATCTACTAGGAACCAGGTAGCAGGCCTGGCAGTGTTTCATGTTTCTTGCAGCTCTGATCCCTCCTGTCCCATCCACTTCCAGCTCACTTCTGTCCTGCCTGTACGTCTTCCCATGAGGAAGAGAAATGGTCTATCACCATCAAACGAGCCTGACTGTTGTGGCTTGTCTTAACTGGAAAAAGGTGGAACTACCACTACCCACGAACATGGCGCTCCCCAGGCTGCACTGGACATCATCTTTTTCTTATTAGAAATGTTTCTAACTGGCCTCTCATCCTGGCAGTGGTAGAGCACATGCCGTGGGCCAGGCACAGCCCCCTGGATAGCTCAGCAGGCTCTAGCTACCCATCACCTTCCTGCTCTGACAATGAATGTCATGCTCCATCACGAAGCTGAGAACCAAGGGAGCCATAAAGAGAACTCAGTCTGTCAAATACCTGATCTCCATTTTCCTTTACTGCACTGCCTCAGTCAGCACCCAACACAGTCCGTTCTTCCCTGGGGGCCAGGGCCAGGGACTCACAGAGCCCATTGTGGCCGCCTGGGAAAGGCAGCAGACAGAGGGGCACCTGAAAAGAATCCTTGGCAGCATATCTGGGCTTGGCATGAGCCTCCCACCCTGCTTCTTTGGGCCCACAGGACAGTAACTCAGGGTGGCTTTCCCTTCTCCTTACTCTCAGAGCTACTTGAAGAATGAAAAGAAATGAGTAGAAGGTTCTGGAAATTAAGCCAGCCAAGTCACTGTGAGGTTGGGCTTTGTGGAAGTACAGGAACCATGTTCTGAAAACCCATTTCTCTGCTTTTAAGTTTTTAATCTTTCCCCTTACAGTAAAAGATGTTTTTGAAAAAGGTGTGTCTTTGAGTAAAGGGAAAAGAGACTGACACCCCTTGCTATAGCCAAGCTGGGCAGGTCAGCAAGAGAGTCCCAAGTCCCAGTGGCCTGCCTCGGTTCTGGCCCCTGGTGCTGAGACTCTGGAGAGGAGATCCTGGGCTGGGTCCTTTGTGGTGCTCGAGAGGAGATGGAAGGGATGTCCCTTTTTGCTATAAAGTCACTCACTGGATGAGCCGTAAAGAAACTTTCCAGCTGCACTGACAAACAGGCTGATGTCTCCTGCTCATCTGATTAGCTAAGCTGCGGAACGAGCCACAGGGGGCAGAGCAGACCCAGACCAGGGTCAATTATAATCCTCCTTATGCTACACCAACAGCATGTGTGTTCTGTGCCTGACCTTTTCTTAGTGCTTCCTGTCTGTTCACTCATTTAATCCCCACTACAGTTCTGCAGGATGCCTGTTACTATCCTCTTTTTGCACCTGAGGAAACAGAGGCACAGAAAGTTTAAAATTGCTCAAGGTCACAAAGCTGGCTATAGCCTGGTCCCCAGTGAACTGCTCTGTCTGGGTGTCCCCCAAGCAATGGGGGGTGGTCATGCTACCACTGCAGCAAGGGAGAGCCATGGCCTTGGGGAAGCTGGGGGCCACTGAGGGGAGGAGAAGGAGGCAGGCTCCTCCCACACTCACCGGTGATGCCCATGGTGGACACTGGGCCCTGGCGCTGCCCCTCGTGCAGGCCATACAGGTGCACCTTGTACCTGCGCCCCGGCTCCAGGCCCCCAATGATGACCTCGTTCTCATCACCCCTGACACGCACCACCTGGGGCCGCCCGTCCCCGTCCTTGTACTGGACAGTAAAAGAGTCGAAGTGGCCCTGGGGGATGGTCCAGGAGAGGCTCAGCGAGTCTGGGGAGGATCCTGTCACCGTCAGCTCCCCCAGGAGGGGCTCCTCGGGGGGCTCCAGGGCCTCCGTGCTGGGTTCTGTGGGGCTAGGTGTCTCCTCCACAAGGTCCTGGGGGGCTGAGAGAATACATAGGGGATACAGGCTTGCAGTGTGACTTGCTTCGTTAGTTGATTATGACAATAAACTACATCCAGCAAACAAAGTCCTCAAGCTGTAGTCTTCAGGGTTTGTTAGCCTTTGTATTAGCCATTCAGTAACTCAGGACGCTGGGACAGGCCCCTGGCCCCTGTCAGTACTGCTGGAAGGATTATATTGCTGGCTTCTGTTGGGCTGGGCTCACGTCTGAGAAAGGAGCTGAGATGGGAACAGAGGAAATCCTGAGGAATTTTCTACTGCGTCCATAGACAGTGCTCACCTCTGGCAATCAAGGGGGCCATAAGGCCTCTTCCCATCTGCCTTCCTCCCTTTCGGCTCCAGCACCCCCACAGGGTTTTTCAGCAGCCCCACTCCACTTACCAGGACACCAGACAGAATGTGCCCTGGCTAAGGCCTCCTCAGGCAGCCCTGTCCCTCCTTCCACTTCAGACAAGGGTGGGAGAAAGATGTGGGGATGAAGGGGCTGGGGAGAACTGTGCCCTTCCCTGGCTGCATCTAGAACCACAGCCCCAAGGGCACCTGTCCACCATCTTCACTGAGGTTCCATGGAGAAGGGAGACTGGCTTCTGTGACCCACTCCCTGGTCCATGGAGTACCACCAAGGGGACAGAAGATCGAGGAGGGAGCAGGCAAGGCTGGACAAAGTAGGGAGATGAGAAAAAAGGATACTGGGCAGGGAGAAAGTCAGGGAAAAATAGCAGCTCACTCCTGAATAGCAGTTTTGATGTGTCAGGCGCTATTCTAAACATGTATGCTTGTACACTGATTTAATTCTAATGACCCTGTGAAGCATGTACCATTATCCTCATTGGACAGATGAGGAAGCTGAACTTCAGAGAGGTTCAGTAATTTACACAAGGTCCCACAGGTCGCAAATGGCAGAGCTAGGCTTCAAATACAGGCAGTGGGATCCAGAGCCTGTGCTCCCAACCATGAGGCTACACAACCACGGAAACGATACTGACCGGGGGAGGCTGAAAGGGTGGAGGAATGAGGGCCAGTGGGCGGAATGAAAGGGGGCCCTTTGCCCTGCTCCCGGCTGGCTGGGAGTTAGGGATTTGCAGGTCCTGGATAAGGTGTCTTCATGCCAGAAAGAAGCTGGGGGAAATGAGGGACTCTTGTGCCTTGGATCTGCTGGCACTGAGCAGAGCAGCAACGGGGGGAGGGTGCGGGCAGCTGGTTGTGGGAGCCAGAAATGACAGCCACCCCAGCCAGGCCGGGGTGGAGGTGCTCCAGGTGTTCAGGGTGGGAGAAAATGGGACCTATTCTTGGAGATGGAGAAGCAGAGCCGAGAAAAAGGCCAGGGGCTGGTGGCTGGATGAGAGGTCCTGGGATGTGGGGCGCTTGGAAGGATTGGAGCCCAGAAGGAGAAGGTGGAGGGAGGTCTGAAGGAGCCCCCAGGCAGGGTCCTGCTCAGAGGGAGGCCTGGGTGGCCCTGACTCACCTGTGGTGGCCACCACGGACACAGGTCCCACACGCTGCCTGCCATGAAGCCCGTAGAGGTTCATCTTATATTTCCGGTGGGGCTCCAGGCCTGGGATGGTGACCTCGTTCTCATCCCCCCTGACGGGCACCACCTGGGGCTGGCCCTGTGCATCCTTGTACTGGACCACGAAGGAGTCAAAGGAGCCCTGGGGCACGGTCCAGGCCAGGCGCAGGGAGTCTGGGTTTGCCTGAGTCACTGACAGCTCCCCCAGCAGGGGCTGCGCTGGGGACTCTGGGTGGAGGGACTCCGCTCTCTGCTCTGAGGCTGAAATAAGAGGATCCAGTGAGGGCTGTGCTGGCAGCCCCAGGTTGGGGTTTGGGGTTTGGATGGGTCGTCATACCTGGGGGTCACTATTAGCATTAATTAGAAGTGCTGAACTCCTGGGAAGTCTGGCACAGTCAGGGTATGACACATCCTCTGGGCCTTGGGGAGCAGCTGAATGGGATGGAAGGGACCCAGCAGGACGGGGGAGGCTGGCTCTCCCTCAGCCTGGGAGTGGGGCCAGGATTCAGAGTCAGCCATCACACTGGGAGGCCCCACCTGGTTCCTGGCTGAGGGCAAGTGTGCGGAAGGTTGGGAGGGGTCCCATGGGGGCAGAGGTTGTCACCACTCACCAGTGGTCCCATCGGCTGTGAGGGGGCCATGCCGCTTCTTGTTGGCAACCCCAAACAGAGTGAATCTGTACTTGTGGTTAGGGTCCAGCGAGGAGACAATGACCGAGCGCTCGGGCCCTTCCACGGGCATCACTTGGGGCTGTCCATCCCTATCCCTGTATTGGACTACGAAGGAGTCAAACTGGCCTTCAGGGACAGTCCAGGAGAGGCGCAGTGAGTCTGGGGTGGGATCTGTCACCCACAGCTTGCCGAGGTGGGGTGGAGTCGCTGGGCTAGGATCACTCTGAGGCACTGGGAGAGAGGTAGAGAGAAAGGAGGAACAGAGGTCAAAGAAAGAGGGGTACTCCGTCTCCCACATAGGGATGCTGTGTGAGGTTGTGCAGGCTGTTCACTGCACAAAGGTGCATGATTGAGGGAGCACTAAGGGACTGAAATCCAGCCAGCCTCTGCTTGCCAAGCTGTGTGCCCTGGCACAGAGTTATGCTCACCTAAGGCAAGGTGCCTTCTTCTAAATGGCACAGATGTGCCACATGGACTAGTGTGGCCCTATCTGCAGCCTAGTGAGGCGCTTCAGAGAGAAGGGAGCCCAGCCATCTCCCTCTGTGTCTCCATAGCAAGGGAAGTCTTCCAGGACAATCTCTACTGCTTCCAGTCCTAACTACTAGCTGGTTTCTCCTCCAAGAGAGGGAAGCACCATCTCTGGAGCTTTTGAATGCGGGAGAGCCTCCCACACCTGTGCTGGGGTCCCATCTCCTTCTCTCCCACCCTGCACCACCAACCCTTCACTACCCCCCACTGAGCCGCAGGCATTTGCAGGAGCTCCTCTCTTTGGCTGCTAGCTCCCTCCAGCCTCCCTCCTTGCTCTCTAGTCCCAACCCAGATTCCAGAAAGAGCTGTCTACACTGGTTGTAGCCATGTCCTCACCTCCATCAGACTCTCGATTGAGCTCCACCCTCCACTGGCAGCTCTCACCAGGGCCAGCAGTGACCTCGCCACTGCTAAGTGCTGTGGACACTCTGTAGCTCTGAATCACTCCTATGGAATCTGACATGTCTGACCACGCCCTTCATTTTGGCATCTGGGACACTGCTCTCCCTGGCTGTGCCCCTCTCCACGAGTCACCCTCTCAGGCTGCCCTGTAGGCTCCTCTTCCTCTGCCCATGCCCTGAGTGCTAGCCACTGTCTCTGCTCCCCCCATGCCATCACCCTGTCTCCTGTCCCCCCATGCCCACTCTTCAGGCCTCCTCTCTGCTCTCCAGATTTGTGAGGGCAGCAGTGATCCCCGCCGCGGCCCCGCCATTTTCTCCCTCTCTGTACCTTGACTCTCCTCATCTATAAATGGGCGTGCCTCACGGGGGCTGCTGCAGCCACTAAGTGTGTTGGCACACTTAGAACATCTTGTTAAAAAATGCTCCGAAGAGGTTTATCTAAGTGTCCCAAGCTGTGCTGGTCCTCACCTCCACTGTTCCTTGCCTCAGCGCAAGGGACTGTCTGCTCTAGGAACACCAGAGGGCCTGGGCCTCCTCGTTGTCCTTCACCTCCCACACCCAGCCTCGTTGTCCTTCACCTCCCACAAGCCTCCACCCAGGCAGGCCGGCATCATTTCTTGCTGGCTCTTAACTCACTTCTCCAGCAATTCTCTATAGCAGCCCCCATGTTATTTGTAAGATAAGTAGCAAATCACATCATTCCCACTTAAAACCCTTCAGAGCGGCGCCCCCTGCACCGGCCGGGGCCCTCACAGCAGCTCCAAGCTCTTCATTCAGACACACACAAGCCCCGTCCCTTCTGCTCCCCAGGTGCCCTGCTCTCCATCCAGAGGAAATAGACGGATTCTCCTCCAGGGCCACACTTGCTCCTGCCTCACTCTCCATGGCTCCCTCTGTCTGCACCACCCTCCTCAACCCCTCTGCTGGACCTACCACTGCTTTTCCTTCAGGATTCATCTCAGGCACCACGGCCTCCAGGGAACCTTCCTGGAGTTCCCATAGCACTGGGAAGACCTCCCTCAAGACCAAGCAGGGGCCAGGGGTAGGGGTGGGTGTGACTGCTCTCACTCACGGATCTTGGCTTCAGCCACCAGGGGCCCATGCCTCTTCTTGCCCAGGAGCCCATATAGCACAAATTTGTACTTGCGGCCGATGTCCAGGTTAGTGATGCGGGCTGAGCGCTGGGATCCCTCCACAGGTACCACCTGGGGCCCATCCCTGTCCTTGTACTGGATCACGAAGGAGTCGAACTCGCCCTCAGGGACCGTCCAGTGCAGGAGCAGAGAGTTGGAGGTTGGGTCAGTCACCATCAGCTCGCCCAGGCGTGGCTGGGCCAAGGGCTTCCCAGGCTTCGCCCCATCCCTGTCTAGAATGTGGGGGCAAAAGTAAAGCAGGTGGCCTCGACCACTGCCTCATCCCTGGTCTCCTTCCCTCTCCTCAGCCCACTGGGTCCCTCCTTCCTGGACATCTCTGTCCCTCAAGGCCTCTACTTCCTCCCCCCAGGCCTCTGAGAGCAGCCCATTGTTCTGCAGTGAGAGCTTTGGCCCTTCCCTTGTGCTAGCTTCCCCACCCCTCGCAAGCATCCCTCGCCACATCAAGAGCTCTGGGGGAGTTTTGGGTCCCCTCTCCAGGTTGTTCCTGAGTCAGAGCTTCCTCACTGCTGCTCTGGAGCAGCTGGAGACTCTCTGTCCACTTGGACTTTTCTCTCCCCCGCCGCCCTCTCTCCTAGTGCTGAATCTCACCTGGAGGAGCAGAGACCGAGTCCCAAAAAGAGAGACCAGGAGGGCAAGTGAGTGTTTCACTGGTTCCACCAACCTCTGAAGCCCTGCTGGCCGAGCGCCCTATGCTAAGGAACCTCCGTCCCCAGCAGAAACGGGCTGGAGCAACCATGGAGCACTGTCCACCGCAGGCCAGCCTCCCAGGGCAGGGGGCCACTGTCCTAGCCTACCCAGTGTGGGGGTGGCAGGGCTGTGGGGAAGGGAAGGGGCAGAGGGGGCTAAGGGCCGGTATCCTCAGGGCTGGAGGCCTTCCCACGCCTAAATGCAGAGATCTATGAGTGACCAGGAATTGGGGAGGATACAGGGCAAAGAAAGCTGCAGGTGGAAAGCCAGAAGCCTACAGCCTCTCTCTCGGACTCCCAGTCCCAGCCTCTGACTTTTCTCCTCCCATCCTCTTTTCCCCTGCCCCGCACCCCATCCTTCTTCTAAGACTCCCTCCGTTCCTCTTTCCTCTGAACCTTCAACTCCAACCTTCTCTCTCCTTGCTCTTACCATTCCAACCCAAACACTAGCCCAACCCTTCAGTCCCCATCCCACCTCTGAAGCCCTGATGGCCCAGCCCCTCCCCCATCCTCAGGACAGTGAGCTGAGCAGAGTTCAGGATATACCCATAATGCTTTGGTAGATGAGAGGGGCAGAGGGCTCGCCCTCCGGGGGGACCCCACGAAGTGACAGCTCATAGGAGACTCCAGGAGGGGGTGAGGGCACCAGAGCCTGGCGGACGTCCCCTGGCAGTAGTTCCTCATGCACTCCTGGCCCCTCCGGCACCCGAAGGTGGAGCTGGAAGTGGGCAAACGTGTCAGGCTGAGCAGTCCAAGCAACGCGGAGCTTCCCTGTCTTGTCTCTGCCCAGCACCCTCAACTCTCCCAGCTCCTGGGGACGCTGCTGCAGTTCCGGGGCCTGGACCCCTTGAGTCGTGGAAGGGCCCGAGGGAGGAGGCTCATCGGTGGCTCCCAAGAGGCCTGAAGGAGAGGACCCTGGGAAAGGGCAGGGTGAGAAAAACAGGAGGGTTGAGAATGAGAGAGAGAAAGGAAATCCCAACCCCCAGGTTCTGCCTTCTAGCCTCTAAGAGCCTACAGACCTGCCCTCTTCTGCTTCTAAGTCCACTCCCTGGGCCACCTCATCCTCCCAGTGATCTACCCAGTCCTCTCAGTACCCCTGTCAACCACATTTCTGAACAGACAGGCCTGCAGGCAATAAATAAAAGCAATAAAGCTGTCCATCCCTCCCCTTACAAGGGGACCTCCAGCCCCCACAGACTTCCATGTCCCTCCCTAAGCACATCCCCTCCCCAGAGGGTGGTGGTCGTGGCTTCCATTAGTGCTGCAGTGAGAAGCCTGGAAGAAAGGAGGAGATGTGGTGTTAGGGAAGGCAGATGCAAGGGAAGAGTGGGTACTGAAGAGAGAGGGAAGAGAGAGAGTGTGTGTATGGAGGGGGGGGTACATCCAGCTCAGGTGGCATCTGGGCCCTGGCGGGGGGAAAATATATCCACAACCCTCCCTAGGGCAGCCCTCCCCTGAGCCCGGCATCGTTCCTGTGGAAGAGACAAGCATGACGTGAGCCAGGAGGTCTGGAAAGGCAGCTCAAGAAGCAGTGGTTTCAACTCTCACAGACACAAGCTGCCTGATGGCTTCAAGGCCATCCCCACACAGTTTTGATGGGTCCCTTTGAGGTCAAGGCCAAACTGTGGAAAACAGTAACCACTGACCACAGCCTTCAGCCATCCTCACCACAGTGAGTCAGAGTGGGGAAGTGCTGGTTTCACTGGGTGCCCCACTCACACTGCTCCTGTGAATTTTCGTAGACCCGCCTCCTTCCCCCAAAGTCCCTTCCACTGCCCAGGATGGCAATCCCGCAAAGTGTCTGGGGAATGCTAAAGACCAGCTATCCTTGGCCCTGGGTATCCCTGAGGTCCCTGGGGTGGAGATGGCTTCTAGAGACACAGGAGGGCATGCTTTGTGCTGGGGTCCCCTGGAGCCTAGACCAAGAGGTGTGGTGGGGGTGGAGTGGCGGTCTGAGCAGTGAGGCGGTGGGAGGCCCTCTTAGATGCAGACTCCAATGGCAGGCGAGGCTGGGCAGGGGATGGGTGATCCCATGGCCCCAGCCCATGCTACCTGTGGTGGTGATGAAGGCGTAGGACTTGGAGGTCTGCCCTGCCCGCACCCCGTGGACCTCCACGTGGTAGGTGGTGCCGGGCCTGAGGTCAGGTAGGCTGACGGTGCGCGTGGTGCCCGGCACGGTCAGCTCCCCGCCAGGGCCCTCTGCAGGCGGCTGGGGCCACCAGCGCAGCACCACGCGCTCGAAGTGGCCGCGGAGCCCGTCAAGGGACACCAGTAGTGAGCCGTCGGCGGAACTGCCCAGCACCTCGGGCTTGGGGTGGCGGGGCGCGGCCACCCGGTCGACGCCTTCGGGCGAGAGGCCGTAGATGCCCTGGTTGGAGTCCCGCTTCCAGGTGCCGGGGTCGGGGCTGGCGGTGGGGTGGGGGCGGCGGGGCGAGGGGGCGGGGGGGCCGACGGGGGCGGCGGCGGCCCGACGCCGCTGCAAGTACTCGTGGATGTGGCGCGCCACGGACGCGTAGGTCTGGTTGGCCCGCAGTGGGTAGCCATGAGCCCTCAGGTGGCGCTCCAGGTCTTGCACAGTGCCGCGGAAGCGGCCCAGCTCGCCCGTCAGGTTGCCCCACGCCCGCCGAGGGGGCTGCGGCAGGCTAGGCCCAGGCCCAGGCTCCTCCTCGCCCTCCTCTGCGGGCCGCGAGGGCCGAGCGGGGCGTGCGGGGCGCGGGGGGCGCGGGGCCGGAGTTGGCCGGGGACGGGGCTTGGGGGACGGGGCTGGGGGGCGCACCTCCGGGTAACTGTAGTGGCCTGGTGCTGCCGGGGGCAAAAAAGGGGGAAGGGGAGAGCAGGTCAGTGGCAGCCCCTCCCCACGGCAGCCCCTCCCTCCGCCCCCCTGCCCCCGCCCCCCCCCGCGGGAGCCCGAGGCCTCTCGCCTGTGCCCCAGCCCCACCTGGAAAGAGAACCAGAGAAAGGAGTCAGTGTCCCGGGAGCCCCTCCCCGCTCGCCCTCCAAGCCCGCCACTGTTGGTGCCCTAGAAAGAAGAGAGAAGCCAGCAGGTGGGGCCCTGTGTCTGAAGGAGAGAAAGGGGAGTGGGAGGAGAGAATGTGAGCTACTGCAAGGTGGGCGTCCCTCTGTCACAGGAAAAGAAAATAAATATCCATCTGTTAAGAGACCTTGAGGATTAGTGGAAAATCACTGCTCTGAGACCTAACTTCCCCAACCCCCCCCCAATCTACAGTGCCCAGCAACGCCGATCTCTGCTCTGCCTGATTCCAGTCCCTACGAGGGCTGACCACCACCGTGAACACAGGGCTGTCCCAGTGCCTGTTTCAAGCGCCTGCCGCCCCAGCTGGTGGGTCAGACAGCCTCTCCTATTTCCTGCTTCTCTGGGGGCAGAGGGGCAGGGGCAGCTCCTCCTGTGGTCCAGCCCGCAGCCTTCCTGCAAGACTCCCAAGTCCCCAAGGTACCAGGGCAGCCATCACACAGCAAGGCCCAACAGGTGCTTTCCAACACATCCCACCAAGGCTCGTTCAGAGGAGACTGTGAACCCTAGACATGGGCCCCCAAGGAAGGGGCGGCTGTACAGAGAAACGGCGCCTTGGCTAAGCCTGGCCAGCCATACCTGTGTTGGCTCTGACAGAAGCCGGGTAGCTTACTGCCCGGCCCCGCTCTGCCGTGACGGTCACTACATATTCCACGCCTGGCATCAGGTCAGTCAGCACTGTCCCATCCGCCTCTGGGGGCACTTCCAGCCGCACCCTCTGGTTGCCAGCGCTGACATAGGACACCACGAATTGGTCCACTTCTGCCTGGGGCCGCAGCCAGCTGAGCTCCAGTGTAGTTGGTGTCACAGCCACCACCCGGAGGTCTTGTGGGCCATCAATCACTAGCCAGATCAGAGAGATGAGGGGTCAGGGGGGAGTCTGGTCCTCAGTCACCAGCTTTCCCTCTAAGAGCTCTGTCCCCACCCCACCACTCCCTTCTGCCTTCCTGGGGTTGGGACAGGGGCGGGGCAGATTCCTAGCCACCCACCCTCAAATCCAGATCTCCAACCAGCACCCCGCCCACAGCCCCAGCTCTCACTGGTGGTGATGGTGTTAGAGGCAGGAGGGCCCCAGCTAGTCCCTCGAAGGGCACGGACTGTGACCTGGTACTCCTGACCGGGCGCCAGTCCTCTCTGGTCATAGGCTGAGGCAGAGCTGGGTACCCGTGCTGTGAATGGGGGGCTCACCCCCTCCGTCTGCAAGAAAGGAGCCCCAAGTGGATCAGGGCTCGTTATCTCACCCCCACTACCCAGTCTCCCTTATGTCTTCTCTCTCCAGTTCCAGGTGCTGTCCACATGGAGCTGTGCGGAGCTGGTCCCTATACAGCTGGAGAGCATGGACAGTAGCAGCAAAAACATCTAAAACATTCAGTATCTACCACATGCTGGACTAGGCAACTTACACATACGAACTCACTTAATCCTCAAAAGAACCTTATGAAGGAGGTCATGCTATTCCCATTGGACAGATGAAGAAACTGAGGTACAAAAGGATTAAGTAACTTGCCCAAGGTCCCTACCACCAAGAATGTGGCAGGGATTCGACCCCCCAGGCAGTGTGACCTCACAGCCCCCTCTCACAGGAGCTACCTTTTAAGCTGGTTCATCAGCTGTTTGTCCAAATCTGCCCATCACACGCCAGGATCCTCCCCTGGGCTTTCCCCACGCAACCCTGCCCACCTTGCCTCCCAAGGCCACTCCTGTCACAAGAGATGACGTCACTGAGGGACGCACCTTCCCAGTCTCACTTCCTCCCCCACAGACCCTGCCCCTGGCTGGTAATATGGGTGTGACCCCTGTTCATGACATTTCCCTTTAGGCACGTCTCTTATCTCCTGAGCAGGGCTGCAGGCCCCTCAAAAACAAAGCCTATCTGCTCTAAGCCTCACAAATATGTTTCCCAGTTTTGTACCTGGCATCATGCTAGGCATGATGAAAGAAGTGTCCTGCCTCAGCTCATGTTCTAGTAGCTAAATGTATGGCCACACCTTAAGGTGCCTCGGATCCCTCCCCAAATCTCTGAGCCGTACACGCCTGTGAGCAAATGACTACCCTCCAAGGGCACATCGAAGATATTATGATTTATCCATGATGACCCCACCAAGAATATGCCAGCCTCTGCTCCAGGCAGGGTCTTCTTCGAGGGCCAGCCACTGGGAAATAGGAGGAATGGACATTTGCGAGCAGTCTAACTGCCCTGAATTTCACTGGGCTGTCTAGCTAGGACAGCTAATAAGGACGCTCTGTTCTGCTTAGCTATGTTGGCCGTGATGGGGACAACCTCCATTCAGCCAAGTAGGATTGGAAATTTCAAAAGGTACTCTCCTAAACCAAGAAAATTGTGGGGAAATCAACACAGTAAATACCAAAGTATAAAAGCAGATGAGAGGCCACGTAGACTTGAGGATGAAATAAAGCTTTGTCAGAGTTCTGTTGGCTGAAAAGTTTTCCTGGGCACACAGGCCCCCTCTTCCTCTCCTACTCACTCTGCCCTAGGATAGTCCAGCCTAGGAGTCTCAACTGAAGGCCTGTGAAGTCCTCATCCTTGCCAGAACTTTCTCTTTCGTTCTCTCTCCCCTATGCCCCCAACCCAACCTGACACACACAATTACCCCCCGCCCCACTGCCACATACACATCCCTTGGGTGGTCCCTGATGATGTCTGATCCTTCCAGGGAGACAAGCCATCTTGAGTTCTCCTTCTCCCTCAGACCACGTACACGAGCCTTTTAGACACCTCTTATTCCCTCCTAAGATCCATTTGGGAACAAATCCCTCAAAGTCCCACATTTGTCGTCTGTCTGATCTGAGACAGGTTCTCTAGGCAGATGCTGGCTCCCCTTGCTGACAGCTCAACCACTTCACCGATTATCCTTGGTAAGTTTCTAACCCCGTTCTCCATACCAGTGTCATGGTTACAGGTGGGGGCACCATCTTGGTTGGGCTCTGGAGCTTACCACACCCTCCTCCCTCTTTCAGACCAGACCCCAAACACAAACTTTTCTGGGGCTACGAGGTCTTGTGTCCCAGTGAAAGCGTGGCACAGCCCAGGTTCTAGGCTGCAGAGTGCCTGATCCTCCTCTTCAACTGACCCTCAGTTACCTTTTGCTTCCTCTCACATTCAGAGAGGAACCAGACTTTTTGCAAAATAGCAACATTCCTTGACTGAGTGGTCCTCAGGCTTCTGGTGTAGCAGAATCCCCTGGAGGACTTGTTTCAGTGCAGGTTACTGGGCTCCAGTCACAGAGCTCCTAATTCAGTAGCTCGGGCTGGAGTCCTGAGGTCTGCATGTGTAACAAGTTTCCAGGTGAATCCCATGCTGCAGGTGCAGGGAATACGCTTTGAGAACCACTGAGTTACAGTAGCCATGCCACGTATGCAGGGAGAAGGAGGAATGTTCCTCTTCCGTGTTCTGAAGAGCATTCCAGTGACTAGGTGTGTCCCTTTGCCAGGAACAGCAAAGGGCTGGGCTTTGAGACAGAAATCCTTCTGGAAAAGGGAAAGGGTTAGGTGGAGATAGGCTTCTGAGAAGATGGCAGTGCCAGAGGACAGCCAGCTACCGATACACTCTGTGCCAGCAGAAATGGACAGAGAGCGCTGGCCAGGACAGGACGCACGATCCCAGGGGCCAGCCACAGAAAGCTTAGAAAGCTGTCGGAGGGCCAGTAGCACAGGCTAAGGTGCAGTGCAAGAGGGCTGTCTGGGGTCCTATCTTACAGGGGTGTTTTCCACATTCGGGTTCAAAGAGAACCCAGAATGTGACAGAGGCTCATACCCAGAGATAAGCTGAGCTGGGCACGGGCCAACTAGACCCACACCTGGCACCTGGAGAGGGAGGAAGCCTAGGGCTTCGGCTGGGAAGACCCACTGCTTGAAAACACCCAAGGTTGGGTTCCTATCTACTAAGAGCAGAGGACAATGCTGCCTTGCATGCTCTTTCTCTCCCAAGTGTTTATTTTAATTCTTTTTTCCCTGAAATTTCTTAGGAAAGTTCCTTTTAAAAGTCCCAACCTCTCCAGATCAGAACTATGTCAATAATATACACACAGAAGAAGAAAGTGGGAGAAACACTTAAAAATGTTAACAGTGCTTGTTTTAGTGTGAAGCAGCCAAGAATTATTTGTTTTTTTCTCTAGTTGCCAAATTCTTGTCTTGTGATTAAATTATTTTTATAACAAAAAACAACTTTTTTTAACAGAAGGAAAAAACCCAAGCTCTATTGGTTGTGCTGCAAAGTAGGGACTTCTGCCTCTGCTTCTCCCAGCCAGTGAGGAGAGACAGAGCCTAGTAGGGGTCTGGTCTTAGGGTTCTAATAAGAAGACTTGGCATGACCAGGCCAGTTAGCGTGGGGATGGCAGCCAGCACCTCTGAGCTGTTCCTTCTGTCCTAGAGCCCTCCTAGGGTTTAGGCCCTGGGAGTTATTCATTCTTCCAGAGTTTTGGAGATCAGCTGTGATGTTTATGTGAAGATTCAAGAAAACATGAGTTAGACAGTAGAAATGTCATATGATTGGGAACTGGGAGGCCAAACATATCATAAAAGCCCAATCTGCATAAAAGGGGGCCTCTAGTGAGAGGCCACAAGGCTTTGTCCTTCGGGTGCTCCCAAATATTTTAAAAGCGATTTGGAAGGAGACACAGAGAATGCTTTGCAGTGCACTGATGACATAGAGGCAGGAGAACCAGTTTACAGACTTAAATTATTGCAACAGCCTAGACAGCTTGGCCTAAACCAAAAGAGATAACACTGAACAGAGCCACATACAAAGGCCTATATTTAGGCTAAAAAAGTGTACACAGTTCAATGTCATCTTTTTTCTTTCTTTTTTTTCTTTCTCTTTTCCTCGTTTATATTTTCTAAAGTGTCTATACTAAGCCTATATAACTTTTATAATAAAAGTCACTTAAAAAAATAAATATGATCAAAACAGCTCACAGTTTTTGTGACCACAAGTTAATACACATCAACTCTGAGAAAACTGCCAGGCTCTCCCGAGTTAGCCAGGAGAACTACTGGACTCCTGTCTGCCCTCACATTTTGGAGGCAAATGCAAAAAGCATGAGGCACTAGAGGAGGGAACCCAGGAAGTGAAGAATTCAGAGAACAAAGCCTTAGGGAAAAGGGGTGAAGAGAGCAGGGGAGTTGGTCTGGAGAGAACGAAGAATGTGGTGATGGCCGATGTCTCCAAATACCTGAAAGCCTGTGGCGGAAGCTGTGGGGGAAAGCAAAGGCGACATTCTGACACTGGTGGGGGCCCACCTAGGGCCAATGGACAGATGTAGAACGGGGCAGCTCTAGATGGTAGAAAGAACTACCAGTGATGACCAGAAACAGACTGGACAGCCTCAGGACGGACAGAGCTCACAGTCACCAGAGGTCATCCAGCAGCCATGAACTGATGCTGTACAGGCCTTCTGGACCCAGTGTGGGGTGGGATGAGGAGGCCTTCACAGCAGCTTCAGGAGTCTAGCCAGTCTGGACTCGGCCACTGACTACCCAGAACTTCCAGCTTGAGGTGAGCACTCTCTCCCCTCTGAGTCCAGCCCACTCAACCTCCTGCAGCTTAGCTCTCACCGTGGGAATGAACTGAATTTCGTAGGCATCCACAGTGCCAGGAGCCCTGGTCCACTCTGTCCGAACCGTTGTCTCCTCTAGGAGATGCATCCTCATGCCCTCAATGGCTGGAATCTCTGTCCAGGAGAATGAGATACCGAGATGTGGTTAGCCCAAGGCAGCCCTCATCCCCCACCCCTACCATCGAAGGCCCCAGTACTCAGACCATACTGCAAGATTGATCCCAGTTTCTGCTCCTCTCTGGAGGTGATGCAAAACTGGCAGAGGCCTGAACAGGCCCTGGGGTCTCCTTCACCTCCCCCCCTCAACTGCCACCTCCAGAAACACAGAATCTTCGGAAAAGCAACTGAAGGAGCCCCAAGCTGCTCATCGGATATCTGAAAGCAGAGCCTGCCTGCCGGCATGCCCCCGGGGTTCTGCTGCCCCTAGTGGACACCGGCTCTCTGGCTCCTTGGACTGCCCCCCTCCACACAAACATCCCTCCCCCTCCGCCCACTGCTCAATAATTCACCTCCTTCCCTCTTTCTCGGGGTGCCTGGGCTCCTAGGCCTCAGGCTCAGGCCTTCCCACTGGCTCTGGTTCCCAGGCCCTGACCCAGGATATTAGGGAAGGCTGCTTGCTCACCTTCCCCGCAGTCCTCCCCTGCATAACCATCTTGACAGACGCAGCTGCCCTCACGACAGTCTCCCCTGCCACGGCAGTCCCCGGGGCACGTCTGAATGGCGCAGTCAGGTCCTCGAAAGCCCTCCACGCATACACACTGGCCAGCGCGGCACAGTTCCCGGGGCCCACAGCCCCCAGGGCAGGCGCTGGCGGGAGGCTCTTCCTGCCCACAGTCCTCGCCGCTATAGCCCACGTGGCACACGCACACTCCCTGCACACAGCGCCCCCGGCCCCGGCAATCCGCTGGGCAGGTGCGGGTAGCGCAGGAGGGGCCGGTGTAGCCTGAGTTGCACACGCAGCGCCCATCCTCGCAGCGGCCGCGCTGGTGGCAGTTGGAGGGGCAGGTACGGAGGCCACAGTCCTCGCCGGCGTAGCCCTCCCAGCAGGTGCACACGCCGTCCTGGCACACGCCATGCTGACTGCAGTCGCGGGGGCACCTATTTATGCTGCAGTCCTCGCCCGAGTAGTCATCGTCACACAAGCAGCGCCCGTCGTGGCACTGGCCGCGGCCGTGGCAACCTCCTGGGCAGCTGCGCACGCCACAGTCCTCTCCCTCGTAGCCCGCGTTGCACACGCACACGCCATCCTCGCAGCGGCCCCGCCCGCGGCAGTCCCCAGGGCACCGACGGCTCCCGCAGTCCTCGCCCGCGAAGCCGGGGTTGCACACGCAGCGGCCGTCCACGCAGCGCCCGCGCCCACGACAGTCGCCAGGGCAGGCGCGCGTGCCGCAGTCCCGACCTGTGTACCCGGGCCAACACACGCAGCGGCCACTCTCGCAACGGCCCCGGCCGCGACAGTCCCCAGGACAGCTGCGCACGCCGCAGTCCTCGCCGCTATAGCCCGCGTTGCACACGCAGACGCCGTTCTCGCAGCGTCCGCGGCCCCGACAGTCGCGGGGGCAGGCGCGCGAGCCGCAGTCGGGCCCCGTGTACCCTGGCCAGCACACGCAGCGGCCGTCCTCGCAGTGGCCCCTTTGGTTGCAGTCGCCTGGGCAGCTGCGCACTCCACAGTCGTCCCCGCTGTACCCTGAGTCGCAGATGCACTCGCCGTCCTCGCAGCGCCCGCGGCCCCGGCAGTCCCGCGGGCACGTCCGGGTGCTGCAGTCCTCGCCCGCGTACCCGGGCCAGCACACGCAGCGGCCGTCCACGCAGCGTCCGCCCTCGCCACAGTCCCACGGGCAGCTCCGCGAGCCGCAGTCGTCGCCGGTGTAGCCGGGGTCGCACACGCAGCGCCCGTCCTCGCAGCGCCCCCTCTGACTGCACCCCCGTGGGCAGCTCCTCACCCCGCAGTCGTCGCCAGTGTAGCCGGGGTCGCACACGCAGCGTCCGTTCTCGCAGCGCCCCCTCTGGCTACAGCCCCGGGGGCAGCTCCTCTTCCCACAGTCTTCGCCAGTGTAGCCGGGGTCGCACACGCAGCGCCCGTCCTCGCAGCGCCCCCTCTGGCTGCAGCCCCGGGGGCAGGAGCGCTGGCTGCAGTCGTACCCGGAGAAGCCCGCGCGGCACACGCATACGCCTTGCACGCAGCGCCCACGGCCGTTGCAGTCCCCGGGGCAGGAGGGCCAGCCACAGCTGGGGCCGCTGTAACCAGGGAAGCACACGCAGCGCCCGCGGACACAGCGACCCTGATCGTTGCAGTCATCTGGGCAGGACCCGGAGACTGAGGGTGGGGTGGAGGGGGGCACCCCAGCGCCTGTGGGGTCTGAGCAGGTGGGCCCACCCCAGCCTGGCTCGCAGGAGCAGGCACAGCGGCTCAGGTCAAACACGCCATGGAGACTGCAGAGGCTGCGGACATCTGTCTGGCCTGGAGTAAGAGGGAGAGTCAGGACTGAGTCTCTCTGGGGAGGGGGAAGAAGCCCATGCGGTGCTCCCCTGCGTGAGCCCCTCCAGCATGGCCGGGCTCATTTCATAAGGTCATCTTTGTTTCTAGGTACGTTTAGTCAATATGTGTGGCCTCCCAAGGCCCTAGCATATGCTTGGGGACAGGGGAGGGAAGTGCTGACACAGAGCCTAGTGACTTCTCTCTCTGAGTTTGGGGGCTGCACTCTCCACCCCCAAAGGGAAAGAAGAGATGCTTTTTCTAATTCATACCAAGGTCCTTTATGGACTAGTGATGCCCACCTAAACCTGAACCACTTCCCCACCTTCCTCTTTTTTGGTGCCCTCTCCCCTCATCTACCCACCTGTGCCAGCCTGGGCTGCAGCGGGACAACATCCTCCAGCGCACTGTTCCTTGAGCCCCTTCACCAGCTCCTCCAGGATCTCTAGCCGGACCTTCAAGGCCTGTACCTCTGAAGCAGGAACAGGGGGCTCTGTGCCCGGGGGACAACCACAGCTGGCTGAAGGCGGCAGGTTGATTCGGTGGGTAAAAACCACCTGCTTCTCCCCTCCTTCCACGGTGTGTTCATAAAGCCGAGAAGAGGGGCTTCCCCCAACGGGCTCCACTGTGCGGCCCCCTGGCTGGGGAGGAGGCCGAGGGGCTGGGAGTGTCACATTGGACCGTGGAGAGAAAGGGCCTGCTCTGACTGTGCCCAGCAGTACCAACAGGGCCAGTCTGGAGATTAGGAACCGTTGGGCTGGCATCACTCAGGAGGCTGCAGGGAGAGAGGGCACATGTGAGCAGCTTCACGGAGAAGGAGACAAGATAGCTCCCCACCTCCCCCAATATACACACCCACAGTTCCACCACCCATAACTAATCTACCAACTCCTATGCATGGGAAACTCCACATTCAGCCCAAACTTAAGGGATAGCCTCCTTGGGCCAATTTGGCCTCTACCTTGCTTTCTGATGTCATTTGATTACCCAGCTCCCTGCCCCCTCCCACTTTTTTGTCTCTATTTTTCCATCCACACTGGTCTTTTGTTTGTTCTACAGATATTACAAGCTTACATTAGTCTAAGGGCCTTTTAGCTGTATGTTCTGTCTGGGATGCTCTTCATGACTGGCTCCGTCTTGGTTTAAATGCGACCTCACATGTCTTACATCCCAAGACCTTCCCTGGTGCCCAGTGGGAATGGGCTTCCATTACTCTGTGGCAGTATCCTGCCCATGTTCTTCATGGCATTTACTGTTGCGTGAATCACCTGTTCCTGTGGGTCCTTGTCTATTCTCTTTCCCCCACTACCAATGTGAGAACAGGGACCTCGTCTGTCCTGGCACTGCTGTATGCCCGTGTCTGACACACAGGGGCTGCCCAACACCTTCTCGTTGAACGGATTAGCAGATGAGTGTACAAAGCCAATCCTTCCGCAAGCACCTGCCATCCAGCTCCTACTGGCTTCTTAGGTGAAGACTATCCTCTCTCTCTCTTTTATTCAATCCCTTACTCTCCACTAAATCTTCTGTCAGCTTTTACAGGAGCTCAAGTATCTCCTGTTGTTTGGGAAAATCCTTCTTCCTCAGTGCTTACATTACCAAATATCGAAACTGATAAAGGTGCAAGGATAGATAAATAGAACAGAATAGTGTCCAGATATAGACCCACACATGTGTGGTCACCTGATAAAATGACAAAGGTGGCATTGCAACTAAAAAGAAAATGGATGCTTGCAACAACGTGGATGGAACTAGAAGGTATAAGTATAATAAGTCAATCAGAGAAAGACAATTATCATATGATTTCTCTGATATGAAAAATTTGAGAGGCAGGACAGGGTGTTGTGGAGGGTAGGGAGGGAAAAAATGAAACAAGATGGGACCAGGGAGGGAGACAAACCATGAGAGACTCTTAATCTCAGGAAACAAACTGAGGGTTGCTGGAGGGGTGGGGGATGGGAGGGGTAGGGTGGCTGGGTTATGGACATTGGGGAGGGTATGTGCTATGGTGAGTGATGTGAATTGTGTAAGACTGATGATTCGCAGACCTGTACCCCTGAAGCAAATAATATATTATCTGTTAATGAAATTACAAAAAAACAACTTACTATAAAACTAAAAAAAAAGAAAGAAAGAAAAGAAAAGAAAACGGATGCTCTTTTTGATAAATGAGGAAAGATCCAAATGAAAAAAAAAATTATTCCTGCCTTATGTCTACATATAGAAATTGATTTGAAGTGAATCTAATGGACCTAGTTATGAAAGGCCAAGCAATACCTTTCAGAAAAATATCATATAGAAGAAAAATAGGAGATATTTTTACAACCTTAGAGTAAGCAAATATTTCTTAAAACATAACCACATAAAATTTAACCATGAAAGATTTTACACAAAACTTAACCATAAAAAAGAGATGGATACATTAGGACTCATTAAATTGATCACTTCTGGTCATCTAGAGACACCACTTAGAGAATAAGAATACAAGTCATACCTGGGATAAGATGTATGAGAAATGCTGGGAGGTAGGGAGAGAGATAGAGATAGATATTGATTGAGAGTGAGAGAGAGGATCAAAATCTAAAATAAGAAACCCCTGCAAAACAAAACAACAAACAAAAACAAGACAGGCAAGAGGAGAAGGGAGTTGGGAGAAATTGGAGGGGGAGATGAACCATGAGAGACCATGGACTCTGAAAAACAATCTGAGGGTTTTGGGGGATGGGGGTGGGAGGTTGGGTAAGCCTGGTGGTGGGTATTATGGAGGGCACGTATTGCAAGGAGCTCTGGGTGTGGTGCATAAACAATGAATTCTGGAACACTGAAAAGAAATTTTAAAAATAAATAAAATTTTTTTAAAAAGAAAAAAAAAAAACAAGACAGGCAGCTCAGGGGTGCTTGGGTTGCTCAGTCATTAAGCATCTGACCTGGGCTCAGGTCATGATCCCAGGGTTCTGCCATCTAGCCCTGGCGCCCTGCTCCATGCTCAGCCGGAAGCCTGCTTCTCCCTCTCCTTGTGCCCCTACTTGTGTTCTCTCTTTCACTGTCTCTCTCTCTGTCAAATAAATAAATAAAATCTTGGGGCGCCTGGGTGGCTCAGTGGGTTAAGCCGCTGCCTTCGGCTCAGGTCATGATCTCAGAGTCCTGGGATCGAGCCCCGCATCGGGCTCTCTGCTCGGCAGAGAGCCTGCTTCCTCCTCTCTCTGCCTGCCTCTCTCCCTACTTGTGATCTCTCTGTCAAATAAATAAATAAAATCTTTAAAAAAAAATAAAAATAAATAAATAAATAAATAAAATCTTAAAAAAAAAAAAAGACACCAACCCAGTGTTTTAAATTGACAAAAGTCTTAAACAGTTACTCTAGGAAAGAATATATTCAAAGGACCAATAAACATACGGAAAACAAACATATATAGGTGTATAACAAAACTAGTAACCAGGGAAATGCAAATTAAAACCATAACAAGATGCCATTATATCGTCATTAGAATGGCTAAAATTAAAGATGTTGTTGCTTGATATTGGCAAGAATGTGAAGCAACTGGAACTCTCCTGAATTGCAAGCAGGAACATAAATTAGTGTAACCTCTTTGGAAAACTGTTAGGCAGTATCTACAAAGCAATTCCATAACCCAGCAATTCCACTTCTTGGTAAATATCCAACAGAAATGACTGCATATATTCTCCAAAGATATGTACAAGAATGTTCATGAGATTTTTTTTCATATTAGCCAAATGAAACAAGTTTTATTAATAGTAGAACAGATAAATTGTGGCATGATCACACAATGAAACACAGTAATGAAAACAACCTCTTGCTACATGTAATAACAGACGATTTCATATACGCAATGCTAGCAAACGAAACCAGATGCAAAAAGAGAACTTTGTGAATGATGGTATTTACATGAAGTGCAAAAACAGGCAGTTAATCTTTACTATTAGAAGACAGGATCACTAGAAATATTTTGCACTTTGATCTGGGTGGTGGTTAAACAGATGTATACATATTCAAAGATTAATTGAGCTATATACTTTAGATTTGTGTATTTCATAATATGAAAGTATTATCTTAAAAAAACAACAACAGGGCACCTGGTGGCTCAGTCAGTTAGGCATCCAACTCCTGATTTCAGTTCAGGTCATGATCTCAGGGTTGTGAGATCAAAACCCGCTTCGGGTCTGCTGGAGATTCTCTCTCTCCCTCTGCCCCTTCCCCCTCCCTCATGCACACACATGTGCTCATGCTCTCTCTCTTGCTTTCTCCCTAAACAGCAACAACCAAAACCTTCCCCAATCTCATACTCCCTCCAGCCAGCACATATTTCCCTCCTCTACTTCATGGCTTCAGTTGTCAAAGATTTATCTGTACTCACTGTTTCAACTCCCCATATCCCATCCCATGCATACCTCAGTGCTCTCTCATCTGGCTTCCCCAACTCCTTTCAACCTATCAGACAGCTCTCCCTAAGCTTGCCCAAAGATTTCAGTGTCACAAAATCTGAGAGACGTTTGTCTTCATTTTCCTTAACCTGTCTCAAAAATCGCTGGATACCGCTGACTACATCTTCCATTTCACAGCCTTTTCTATTTGGCTGTCAGTGCAGCAGCCAGGAGGAGGGCTATGTGGATCTCAAACACCTGAAATGTGCCTAGAGGAACGGAAGCACTGAATTGTACCCAGTATTTTTTAAAAGCACCCCAGGAGATTGTAAAGTGCAGCTAAAGTCGAGACCTACTTTTCTAGTCACTCACCTAGGTGCTTTCACCCAGACCCAGGATTTTAATTTCCAAACTATATCCCAATTTATAAACTAGCCTGGTCATCTCCTCTTAACTCCAAGTGATGTATATAACTACCTACTTGGCAACTCTTCTTGGGCACCTCAAATTCAACATGCCTGAAAATGAACTCATGGTCACCCTTCCTGTACCCCTTCCCTCCTCCACTGTGTTCTCCACTGCAGCTCACGGCCCCACCATTCATCCAGCATTACAACCTAGGAACCTAACCCCCATCAATGCCACCACATTTTGTGATATTTCCCTTACTTTCTCATAAACAACTCTTTAATTTCCCTATTTCTCTTTCTCTCTTTGAGTTAGAATTCAAGCCATCACCTAGCTTTTGCTTCACAACTGCATTTGCCTCCTAGCTTGTCCCTCTGCTTCTACTCTTGCCCCTGACATTCTCATAAAGGCAACTAGGATGTCCCACTCCCCCTAAAATCTCTCCAGTGTCTCCCTTCTAAATCCCCTTCAAACACTGACAAACAGTCCTACATCATCTGGCCCCTGCTGACCTCCCCCACCTCATCTCCCACAATACTTCCTTCCCTCTCTCCACTCCAGTCCCATGGACCTTACATCTCTCACGCCCTTCCCAATCCTAGGCTTTTGTATATGGTGCTCCCTCTGTGTGAAACGCTCTTCTCTTTCCTCATGGCCTCCTCTTCTCTTCTATCTCAGCCTCACATTGCTTCTTCAGGGAACCTTTCCTGCCCAGGTCCCCCAAGATGTTATATCAAAGAGCCCTGTAACAGGACTGATTTTTTTAAAAAGAGTCATGTAATTCCCACTTGTAGCATGTATAACAATTTATACTTATATATTTATTGGTGGGATTATTTTAATGCTTTCTTGCCCATACTCAATCTTATGCACTAGACTGTAAGGTCCATGAGGGCAGGCATGGCACTCGATTTTTTTCTTGGCTGTCATATCCTTGCATCTAGCATGTATTAGGTGCTTGATAAATACTGACCATATGAGTGAATGAAAAGTTTAATTTAAGCTGAGGACTAGCAACAGGGCCGGAAATAAGAACAGGACCAAGGTCAGGGCTAGGACCACGGACAGTGTCTGGGACAGGAAGCTAGACAGAAAGAGCAGCTCAGGCAGCAGCAGCTCAGGCAGAAGCCAGGCTAGAGAGAAAGCTGGGTGTGGATTCTGGCAGGGCCAGATAGAACAAGCACTTTGGGAAAGTGTTGAGCATGATCCCCCCAAATTTACCAGAGCTATATGCTAACACTCGGATCCACCAATCCCACCCTCAGCAATATACCCACCATAGCAGTACTACTCTTAATAGCCCCAGTCTGGGAACCACCCAAATATCTCACATCAGTGTAATAGATGAAATGAAGTGTGGCTTATTCATACAGCAAAATAAAATAAGGCAATGGGAACAAACCCAACAAACTCAGCAGGGGAGTCTGGTTCTTCCTCTCCCCCTCCCCCACTCATGCTTGCTCTCTCTCTCTCCCTCCCTGAAATAAACAAATAAAATCTTTTTAAAAACTCTATGCATATGAAATCTGAGGAGAAATGACGTTAATCTGTACTGTCACAGGTCAGAAGTGTGGTGCTCCTGGAGGAGTAGTGACAGCAGGGGCAGAGCGGGGCAGGGAAATTCTGAGGTGCTAAATATCCTATTTCTTGATCTGGGGGCTGGTGCTCAGCTGTGTTTGTTCGTGGGACCCCTTGGGACAAGGATTGGAGAGCATAGGGAGACCAGGGTTAGAAACGTGTTCAGGGTGAGCCAGGATAGGGGGCTGTGGTGAGCAGTGGAATGTAGAGGGTTCAGTTGGGGTGAAGGGCTAAGCAGAGGTGTGGGTGGTTGGCAGAGGTGTGGGTGGTTGCCCAGTTCTTTGGGACCAGAGAGGCAGAGAGAGGAAGGCAGGGCAAGTGTGGAAACACTAACTGGTGAGGAGGGAAGGGATGATACCTAAACACACACACACACACACACACACACACACACACACACACACACACACACATTTCCTGGCTTGCTACTCTGAAACTTCTCCTCTGAGTCTGGGAAAAAAGAGTTTCAGGGCGACCAGCCATCCATCACACAGCCACCAGCCCAGGAAAGACGGAAGGAAAGCTGGATGCCAGGGAAAGAGCATTTCCGCATTAAGAGGCCGGAGAAGCCCAGGGAGAAAGGTCTGGCAGGCAGGCAGTACTCCATCCCTGGGCCCCTCAGCCCGTCAGCTTGGAGTGTAGCCTTGGGTACAAGGTGAGCTCTGAGGTACCCTCAAAAACTTTCACACTGTGTCTAAGGCCATGCAAACCAAGGGGTGTGTGCACACACAAATACACGGACATATACAAGTACACCCAAGTGTGCGCTCATCCACAAATACAAATATGAACACACTGGTACACAGATACACACATCCATCCAAATTAGCCTGCATTTTGCAGGCACACGTGTGTGTGGAGGTGCACACGCATGCACACACACACACACACACACACACACACACACAATCTCCTCTTCGTGTTTCCTCCACACGCATTCATAGGGTGATGCCTAAGAAAGTCTATTTCTCATGGTTCTCAGAGGGCAGTGTGTGAGTCAGAGAACATAGGTGGAGTGAGGAGAACCAAACAGGAAGCCCTTCCCCAGGGGGAAGCAGAAGATTCCTGGTGCCCCACAGCCCTGGGGGTCTTTGTGAGTTGTCTGGTACCCACCCCGGCCATTGGATCCTGCATCTTACCTGAGGTTGGGGCAGAGGGGAAGAGAGTCTTTGTAACAGGAAGGAGAGAATTGGGAAAGTAGTGAGGCAGTTCTGAGAGGAGAGGAGTAGCCTCCATAGTTCATGACCCAGAGTCTCCCTCCCCATCCCCCCTCCTGCCCTGTCACAGCCACCCCTCCAGCTTCGCACTTCCAACTCTTGGAAGAATTCCCCTCTTCTCTCAGCACTAGGAAAGGAAAGAACTTGGATGTCTCTTGTATCTCCGCCTTATCACCCCCCTACGGCTGTCTGGGGCTCCTTTCTGTGGTGGGGAGGGGGAATGTGGCCTCACACCCTTGGCATTGTCCCCACACTTGGAGGGCTGGCAGAGGTGGGGGCATCATCCCAGCTGTGACTCAGCTTGCCTGGTATTCATGTGGTGGCCAACTTTGACACTTCGCTCATCAGGGACTGTTGGTCCCAAGAGGTGTGGAGAAGGGCTGGCTTCCATGAGGGATGTTCCAGAGATGGGGGATTTGGGCCCCACCCCTCTGCCTCCCTCTGCCCCTCCTGCCACATGAGGGTTGAAAGTAGAAGGATTCCAGGACCATGAGAGGAAGGAGGGAGATGAGGGAGGGTTCCACATATTGGGCTGGAACCAGGAGGTAAGGAGGTGCCAAGAAGGAGAGATTTGGGGGATCCAGATGTCCCTTATGCTGGGGAGCTAATGGGCCAGAGGAATGGAAAAAGTAAGAGAAAGGATTTCTGGGCCCCCAGTGGAAGAGTTAAGGGGGCAATGAAGGACAGCAAGGCAGGTTCTGGTGCTGCACTGGGTGATCAGGACTCAAAGGAAAGGGAGTTTGAGGAACTGAGGTGCCAGGTCCCCAAGGGAGTGGAGGCAGGGAGAGAGAGAGAGGAGGGGGGAGGAGGGAGCCAGGGGTGTGGGGAAGCGGGCGGGGCCTGGAAGCGGACAGCGGACAGCCGGCAGCTGCGGTGTTTCCGACTTGCTTCCCAGTAGTTCCTCTCAGTTCCATTTCCAGTTCTTTCCAAGCCATTAAATTCTTTCCAAGCGAGATAAGGGGCCCGCCCACCCCACCCAGGGCGTGTCACGTGTAGTGGGGGGGGGGGTTTAGACGGACAGAAGCACGGAGAGCCTGGAACGGGGACGGGGACGGAAGGAAGACGGAGCCCCTGTGCCCCTGGAGGCATCTCTCAGTCAGCCCAACCCCGCTGAACCGTGAGTCATGGGTGCAGAGCTCTCAGCCAAGAACAAGTTTTAGGATCTTCCCCGCAGGATCTGTGCCCTTCCCAGACCTGGGAATCCTGACTCTGCTCCATTTCAACGTTTCCTAAAGGCTTAAGACCCCCAGACCTCCCTCCCAGACCCTGCAACCCACATGCTGAGAGGCTCCCTCTGGCACCTTCCTGGAGCTCTAGCTCAGCCGCTCCAACCAGAGCACTTGGGGTTCCACCAGCACTTTCCTCCTGAGCTTCAGCTGTCCCCTAGCTCAGCCTCTAGCCTGGGGTTTTCCCCCCATCTGACCACGGCTGAGTCCTACCTCCTGATAACCACCTCCACCCTGCTGCCACCCACTGATCCTGTCCAAACCCTGGCACCCACAGCCCCCACTCCACGTGCGCACACCCGTCTCCCCCACACACACCACATGCTGACCCATCCCTCCAGACACACTCTCCGCAGGCAGTCTAGTCCCCAGTGCAAGGTCCCATTTCCTCTGTCCTAACAGAAAGTCTGCTCTGTGAGGCTCTCCTGCGAGCTCTCCCGCTACACCTCTGCTTGGGTAGGGATAGGATAGAGCCCCCGTTGCTCCCAGCTCTTCCCTTGTTCTTCCCAGAGCTCTGTTCCTTACCTGGGCAACAGGCGACTGCAGTGCCTCTGCACCTGCTCTGTTCCTGACCTTGGGAAGGGAGTTCTCAAGATAGAGTAGGGCTATCGTGCCTCGGCAGCCCGAGCTCCTTGGAGGTCCCCTTGCTTGTTTCCTGCAGCAGGGGCTCACTGAGCTGCGACCCAACCGTCGATCTCAGCAGCGACAACAAGAAGGAGGGAGCCTGCAGCGAGCAGGGGGAGGAGAAGGGGAGGACCAGCATGAGGTCAGGGAGGGGAGCGGAGATAGGGCAGGTCCTCCCACCCCTCTAGTTCCTGCCAGGCCCTCCCAACGTCATCGCATGCCACCCCTCCTCCCCTCCCTGTCTGGGATCACTGAGTCCCACAATACCTTCGTCTTGCCCCCCAATCCCTGGTCCTACCTCCCACATCCTTTCCCTGTCCCATTTGTACTCTTCCTCCCATCCCAATGTTTGCCCAACTTGACATCCCCCATCCTTATGCCATTTCTCCTTTCCCCTCACCGTTTCCCTACCTGATGCTCCTGCTCTCTCACCAAGTTCTCCTCTCGAACAACACCCTTACCCATGGCCAGCCCCTCTCCCTCCTCCTTCCCTGGCACCTCCTCTCCCACCACTTCACTCCAGCTTGGATCTTGCCCCACCTGCCTGTTGCCCAGCACCCGCTCTTTCTCTTCCTGCCATTCTCTCCTAGCAATGCGGAGCAGAGAGTGGGGGATGGGGTGGGGAAGGAAACCTCCTTCCCAAGCCCAAATCCCTCCCCAACGTCGGCCTTCTCTGGAACTCCTTGTCCCCACCTACCCCTGCCTGGTCCCATTTTTCCCACCTGAGCCTTCTCTCTTCTATTTCTATTTGCCCTGTCCCCATTGAGAGGCATTGCCTCTCCCCATCTGTTCTGCTCAGTCCACTGCCGGTTCTCAGCTTGGGATCACTGCCCCCTTTTCATTCTCGCACCTCAGCAAATTCCAGAGAAATGGCAGATGAGGCTTGGGTACTGGCTAGGCAAGGGCTTTGCTGAACACCAGGATATACAAGACTTGGGAAGGAAGTTGGGGTTCAGGGGAGACAGGGAAGGGAAGCCGGAAAGTTAGGAAGGAGGTTTAGGAGAGAGGCTTAGGGATGGAGAGAGCTAGAGGTGAGAGGCAGATATGGGGACGGGGATATGAATGGCAGGGTGAAGTCAGAGGAACGGGGTCAATGTCTGGGTCCTGCAGGGGAGCAGCAGTGGGAAGGAGAATTAGGGGCTGGAGGAAGAAAGCACTTTGACCTCAGGCAGAGATAAGAAGACTGACACCAGAGGACAGGGCAGCAGGCACACCAACATGTAAGGAAGCTGGCTGTTTCTCTGGCCCCATTTCCCTTGGTTGCTCACTACCTTGACCAGGGGCTGAAGAGACTTTTGCCACAGAAGGGAAATACCCAGGTTGAGGAATCCCCACCCCAGGTTTCACGAGGAGAGTCCTTGCTACCCCACTACAAACCTTACCATCGGGGAAGGGCTTGGCCCTGTCATAGGTGATGGGGAAAGGGACGTGAAGGAAACTGTGTCTGAGTCTGCCACGAGAGTTGGATACAGGTGTCTGTGCCCTAGACTGGATCCCCCTGGTTGCAGGGCCATGTTGTTCCAGGGTCAGGGCACACTGGCATAGCGTGTGGTGGCCATACGCCCAGTTAGCAACCTGAGGCTGAGGGCAAAGGCTTGCATAGACCCTCGCATGGGTGTCCCCGTGTGTCTGGGTGTGTGTGTGGCTGTTTTTTTCCTGGCTTTGATGGGGAGGATGAAGTCAGCATCTTGGACGGAACTGGGCTCAGCTTCCTTCCTCTGCCTTGGCCCAAAGCCCCCAGGGCCTGGAGTAGGTAACAACTTCCCTCTGATCCTGGGGGGCGGGGGTGGGGGTGACGGAGGGTCTGAAACAGCATCTCTTAGGGAGAGCAGACTGCACATAGGATGTATTTCATCTTAAATCCCTAGATTTCAGTAATTATGTCCCACAGCCATATCTGTTGTTTGCCCTATGCCTTAATCTTGGTTTTATTATTTACTAAGTATGGCCACCATAAATACACTTGGCCCGCAGAGTGGCCAGGGGACTCTGGAGATGTGAGAGCTCTAAGGATGGCCATGGGGTGTTTTGGAAGTCCACGGCAAGGGACAGAAGGGATAACAGACTCTCAGAGAAGAGAGTGGGATTGCAAACATTTACAAGGTTACAAGGCACTTGAGGAAGCCATTGGAAGCTTAACAGACATAATTTGAGGTTCCGAGGTCATCATTGTCTAAAATTTGATTCAGCCCCTTGATTTAGGCTCTTGGAGAAGCTCCCATCTTACATATGTTTGCATCTTGTCAGGAAATCACCAGACCTAGCACAGGTGCCTAATAAATGCTTATCACTATCGAACTGTGAGAGGACTGGGTGAGAAGGATGCAGAAAGGGAGTCTGGAAGGAGCCCCAGGCATGGAGGCAGGGATGCCTAGTGGGCAGAGCCGGTGGCCTTCACTGAGGTGTTTTGGGTGATGGGTAGATAGGTCAGGGTTGCTGACAGCTGTCCACGTGCTCTGGCTGGTCTCAGAATCCTCAGTCCAGCTGTCTTCGGCTCTGGGCTTCCATCCTTGAATGGACCTCCTTGTTCCTTTCCTCACCTCAGGAGGATCCAGGATAAAAGGAGAAGGGAAGGAACAGAAAGAAGAATGAGGGCAATTAAGGGCAAGGACCTGAAGGAAAAGAGAAGGAACAAGGAGAGGCCAGGGGCTGTGATCCAAGGGAGCAGTCCCAGAGCGGAGGAAGAGAGAAAACAGTTGTACTGGGCTTCCGTTGACAAAACACTTTCCAACAGAAAGCAGGCATGTGATTAATCCCACTCTGTGGCTGAGGAAATGGGGGATCACAGACATCAGGTGACCTGTCCAAGGGACTTTGCTAGTGGTGGTGAGAAGGTGGGCCTCAACCCAGGCTTTCTGATTCCAAAGCCTATACTCTCTCTTCCCCCAGGAACAGCCTTGGAAAGATGGAAGACTTAGGGCAGAAACGAATGAAGGGGCTCCTTGGAGAACTTGTTTGAGAAGGAAGGGTAGAAGATCTGGCTCTTTAAAACATTTTTCTGTATCCAGTTATTATGCAGATTAAGTAAGAAGAAATCACCAAGTCTAAGCTGGGGGACTCAACATTCCACTACCAAGGAGATGGTGGGGAGGGGGGACTCGGAGAGAAGAGACAGCCTGAGATGAGAGATGGGAGAGAACCAAGAGGCTAGGACTGGAAAGGGGGCAACAGAGCCACATAAGGAAGGGTTTGGACCCCTCAGACTTCCTTTGCCTGGAGTCACGGGTGTGGGGAGAAGGGAGGAGGGAGGACATTGCTATCTCGTGACAAAAGAAAGTCACACAATTGTTTTGTTCTCTGCTCTGGGGTGGGTGGGCGCCTATATTTACCAGAGGGACGGAGGTCGCTGTGGCAACCACACATCTGGGCCCCGGAATCCAGATGTGCTGTATCCAGAAGCCATAGCAGAACGATGAGGCAAACATTAGGCTCTCCAGTCCTGGCCCCCACAGCTGGGAAGAGTACAGGAGATTGGAGTGGGGAAGAGGGAGGGAGAGGGAGAGGGCCAAAGCGGGGGAGAAGAGAGGAAGTCTTGGACCAGGAATGTGGACAAAGGAGTGCAAAGAGAACTGGGGGGGGGGTGGCATGAAGTGGGAGAAGTTGAGCACAGGGTCAACAGCAGGAGATGAGAAGAACAAGAAATAATAAATGGAAAAGAGAGTGAAGCAGTGGGGAGGAAGGGCAAAACACAAAAGGAGCGAGGAACAGACTAGAGTCCAAAAGACAAGGTGAGGACTCCTGGCCAGAAGGAGGGCAAAGAGAAGTGGGAGAGGAATCTAGAGCAAAGTGGGAGAGGTGATAGGTCTATGGGTTAGGAGTGATAAGAGGAACAAAAGGCCAGATCCTGAGGCAGGAAAGCAGCTCAACAGAAAGACAGAGTGGGCCCGGGACAGGAGGGGACAACAGGAGGTGCAGGAGTGACCATGGCCACAAACTGACGGGGCTGGTGGCCTTGGCTAGGGCTGTGGCCTGGGATCTGCGTGGGCTGAATGCAGCGGCCAGACACTGACCTGCCTTCACCCTCCCACCTCGCACCCCCTGGCTCCATGCCCCTCCCACGCCTTTCCCCATTCCACTAACTCAGCCAACAGTCGACTGCCAGTTCACATCAGTGCCAGTGGTCCCTTGTCACTTGGTGTGGGGGTACAGCAGGCCCCACCCCAGGGCCCCCAGCCAGGGACAGCCCTCAGGCACTTCCCTGCACTGCCATCGAGACAGGGGGAGTGATGGCAAGGCGGGGCAGTGATGAAGCCAGGTGGGTAAGAGTGGAGTAAGAGGAGAAAAGGGCAATGTAGACAGGTGGAAGGGACAAGGGACAGGTGTGCCTTTAATGAACCAGGCACTGTGGACCTCTTTCACCCCCACACCCACCCTGAGAAGAATGCAGGAGTATTTGATGCTACTGGTGAGGAATCTCAGACCCAGAGTGTTTGAGTTACACATCAAGGACATCCACTAATGAAAGGTAAAGCAGAGAATCCAGCTCAGGTGATTTGCCTCCCCAGTCCTCGGCCTTGCGCTCACTGCCTTGATGAGGCTCGAGGGACATGGAGACAGGAAGGCCCAGAAGCCAGGGCTGAGCTCTGGAGGGAGGAGAGGCCTAGTTCCTGGGAGCCCTAGTTCCAGGTTGCCATAGTTACTCAGTCTGTTTTCACCCCAAACAGAGTAATGGGGAGTGGGGGAGCCTGGCTGGACACGTGAGGTTCTCCCCTCCTCCTTCAGGCCTGGGCTTGTGGCCCGGGCGGCCCCTGTCCAGTCATCTGGGCACTGAGCCCAGGCCCAGCCCACACCCTCTAGCTGACCCAGGACACTCCTGCAGAGCCAGGCCTGAGGCACTGCTGGACAGGAGCTGCTGAAGGGACCCCCCCAAGGTAGAGTAAGGTTTGGCCCCTCACCCTCTGTCCTGTCCCCCTTCCTCCTAATCAGAAACACAGCCTTTCCTGTTGAATCCGTTCTCATCCTTTTCTTTAAACAGGACTCTCAAGTCTCAGTGTCCCCCAGTTTAGGGCCAAGAAGATGCTCTTCAACATGCCCGCTTCCCTCCAAACACCACCCCCTTCTCCACTGTGGCCCCTCCTTTCTGGCT